GTGAAACCCGAGCATGCGCTCATGTGACCCCGCTCCTCCCCCACCGCCAGCTGGGGGGCGGGGCCGCCGCGCTCCGAGCCTCCCCCTCCTCCGCCCCAGGGTTTTTCCAGGCCGCTGGCCGCCGGCTAGCAGGCAGGATTTTGCTCTTTGCCTCCGTCCGGCGGCGGTGGCTTGTCTGCTTCTGCCTCTGCGGTGGCCCTGGGTGGGACGGCGCCTATTAGATCCTGTCTTTGTGGTCAGATGCGCTGGGGCGGCAGCCAGACAGACTCCTTATCCCCGCTCAGGTACCCGGGTGTACAGCCCCCCGGAGTGGATCCGCTACCACCGCTACCATGGGCGGTCGGCCACTGTGTGGTCCTTGGGCGTGCTGCTGTATGACATGGTGTGCGGGGACATCCCCTTCGAGCAGGACGAGGAGATCGCCCGCGGCCGCCTCTTCTTCCGCAGGAGGCTCTCACCGGGTGTGTGGGCCTCACCTTAAAGCGGGGTGGGGGGGGCGGGGCGGCTGATGTAGGTGTCCAGCCCCGGTCACAGCTCACGGCTCCCCTTCCTCCCAGAGTGCCAGCAGCTGATTGAGTGGTGTCTGTCCCTGCGGCCTTCGGAGCGGCCCACCCTGGACCAGATCGCTGCCCACCCCTGGATGCTGGAGGCCGACTGTGCCCTGGAGAGCTGTGACCTGCGCCCCGGCCCCATGGACCCTGACGACGGTGCCAGCACCACCTCGAGCAGCGAGAGCTTGTGAGGGAAGAGTGCCAGTGGGCCTGCCAGGCGGTCAGAGGGACCACCTGCCTTGCCCGGCCTGCTGGCCCTTGGAGAAACACGAGGGCCCCGACGGCCTGGGCTCCCTTCCCTTTGAGTGCCTTTTCCAACACCGCGCCCCTAGGACATGGCGCCCCAGAGGGTTCCCGCCACTGAGGCCTGGCTGCCCTGCAGAGGGGGCACCTGAGGCCTCAGGCGGGCCTGCCCTGAGACCAAGACCCTCCACGCTCCAGGAGGCCACCGACCTCTGATGCGACGCCCCACACCTCCCGGTTCGCCCTGTCTCTGCCTGCGGCCCAGAGAAGGTCCCGAGTCTTTGGGTGTT